AATTATTTTAATGTTATTAGACGTATATGAAGTTGTTAAGGTTAGCATATTATTATATTCATAGTTCCCGTCCATAATTAAAAAATTATAGGATGATATATTAACATAGAAATTATTATGCAAAGATAAATTGTTTTGCATGCTTTAAGCCATAGTTTTGTTTCCCTATAAGACAAATTAAGCAATCAGTTGTAGGCCAGATTAATTAGGAACTCTCAGATCGATCCGATATCATATTCTTCTCAAATACAACTAAACTTAAAGTGTCAATGCATTTTAGAGATAACTTATCGGCAGCGCCATTACAAAATTTCTCGTTTTTGTGAACTGTTTGGTAGCTTACATTAAACGATTGAATGAATTTTTAATCTGCATGGTACTGAATAATCCTGTCTGTTAGCTTCAATCAATCCTCGATCTGTTACTTTGATCATTTTCTCCAGAATTTTTGACACTTCATCTGCAAGGAAAGTTTTGTGCATAATTAGGCAATTTGATTTATAAATTTTTAAGCTATCGCTGTTATTTCGGAAATTCAGAAAGTTCTTATCACCCATGCAGTACGTGTGGAATCTGTTGATTCAATAAGGAATGAGATTCTGAAAGCCATCAATTGCAAACTATAGCGCAGTTTCCGACGGAATTTCTTCTTTTTGATTTCTAGGGTTTAATTCAATTTGCAATTATTTGCACTACTTTTTATACGTTTAATTTGGCACACTTTAATTTAGTGTGTTCAATAAAATACACCTATAGCTATACACATAGTATAAAATGCCACTGATGGAACTTCACTTGTCAGCGCACTGATTTGAAATACTTCAGTTTCAGCAATTAATTCAGACATGAATCCGTAGCTGTTTATACCGTTTTGAGATAAATTTCATTCAGAAAGGTCACTGGCTTAATGACTCAAAAGTCGCAAGCTTATTTGTAGGACAAGAGAAGGTCTGAGTAGGTCGGCCAATTCATTCAATTCAGTCTGTGCTCTTTTATCAATCTGTTTTTTGCATTTCCTTATAATCAATATCTAAATAATAAAAAGACCTTAGACTTCAAAAAAATTTCAACAAATCTACACAAAATTTCAGCAAATTCTCGACATCAAATTTCAACAAATTCACCGTCGCTGTCATCAGATTTGCAGATTCCCTTGGTGCTCAAATTCTTATGACATGAATGTAAATTTTAGGATGACTCGTATAAAGGATTCAATATTTACATCAATAAAAAATGGTGGGTAGTTGACATTAAACGTCAGCGGTTGAATGAGTTTTGAATTTGTACAATCCTGTCTGTGTTCTTTAATCCAATATTTTTACTGAATGATTTGCATATTCTTGCTGTAGGAATTTTTGCTTATTCCTTTTTCAATTAATTTTGCCATCCATTATCATATCAATGGCACTTCGTTGTTGCAATTTATTTATCAATAATTGATACATTTGATAATTAAAGATATGTATTTGTGTATTACATATCTTTGTCAAAATAAAATGAAGTCTCAATGAAATGATTATAAAAACAAGTTGACCAAATAAAATGACACCATATCATTAGTTGGATTAATGATTGTCTTTTGTTACTTACTTTTATACATGATGAAAATTTGCAAACAATCAGTTACAAGTGCGAATAGCAGAAAAATTATAATGATATGATGTCACCAAATAAAATTTTACATTGTTCGGATCAAAAAATTAAAGTAGAAGGAAAAGGCGCGACATTTGGACGAAAGAATTTGATTAAAGAAAATCGTTAACTCAAACATTTGCAAAACTAAAAGAAGAAGATGGAAAAACAGGATTTCAAATGACTGCGGGATACTCATTTTCGAGTAGTAATGTATCGTTATCAACCAAGAAGTTCACGCCACTATTTTCATGAAATATGGGATAGCGAAAAGAATAAGGATAAGACAGATCACAAATTTCAATATTAAAGTGAGAATTTTTATTTTGGCTAAACTTCGAAACTTGAAATTTCTCTAAATTCGCAAAACTAACGAGAAGTTATAAAGCATATCGTTTCATGTGTCTTTTCAAGTTGTACTTGCGGCTGAAGGATTTGTGCAATTTTCGCATTGAGGTTTAGGTTGATGTTTTTCCTTGTGAGAGTAAAATGATGTGCTATGATTGTACTGTTTTCTACAATTGGGTTCTTTACATTCGTAAATAAATCGTTTGCCGTGCGTTTTTCAGTGTTTTCTATATTCTTTGCAACTGTTCGTGTGAAAAGCACATCTGACATGTGGACACTCATGAGTTCGCTTTCCTGAAAAACTCATAACATCAGGCGATCATGAAGGATCGAATATGCAGTCCAATTTTTAATAAGGATTGATTTAAAAAAAATTGCCGTTTCTGTCACTAATTACTCTTATGATATGTTGCATAGTAAAGAGAATGAAAACAAAACAGATCAAAAAACCAATGTTAAAATGAGACTATAAATTGGCATCTGTTTTGATGGTAGCACTGAAGATGCCGCGCAATTTCTGATACTTACAAACCATTTCGTGCATTGTATGTGCCCGAATTGTGGATGTGTTGCAGTTAGGTCTAGAACGAATATTTTCTAAATGCTGCCTCACTGCGCCAAAAGAAATGGACACTTTGCCGCAGTTTGGCTTCGTTTTCTGCATTGCAATATTTATTGAATTTTGCAGCTTTGCAGCTTTTGATCTGTGCGGTTAGCAGTATTTCTCATATTTTTTTCTCTTACATTCAAATTTCCTATCTCTAATTTGACAGTTGATGAATATGCTTTTAATCCCCGACGAAAAGCTCATGAAAGGGTTGCAGATAAATTGGATACCAGTAAGCTTTCGGGGCTTCAACAGGTAATTTCTCAAGTTTGCCCTCCATTCGAACCTAAAATTTAATATTTGAAGAATTGTTGCAATACATAGCATGATATTTTAGTAATTTCACACAATTTTTTCTTTTTTAAATTATATAACACAAAAAACAATCACTAAGGAAACAAACAAATATACAAACTGCAGATCACTGTTCGGTCATTAAACGTAACATGTTTTCCTCAATCAAGAACTCCCAAGTCATTAACGACCCTAATAATCCAACGTTAACATGAAGCACTCTTTCAGACTAACTTGTCTATCAACATGAGGCCAGTAAAATAGCATGGAAGCATGAGGATTCCTATCAATTTGCATTCCTTTGGCACTGTTATAGTATGTATAGAAGCACAGACCTTCCCTGTCATACTCTTTCATTAAAATCATTCGTGACTGAAAAATTAGCCTTTTTTTTCCAGTGACGCAATCAAGTATCACAAGGCACAAAAGGAATGCATTTATATTTGAATGAAATGAAAGGATACTTCAGGTGTTGTCATTAAAAAAAAAGCCTTTCGTTGTCAAAAATTCGCTTCCACTTTGTATAATATTTCACGCATGGAATGCAGTTTATCTGCTTGTCATATATTCATTAACTCAGGAAAGCTATACCGTATACAGTGCAATTGAATAATCATTTTTTGGTCTTGGTGATTAATGAATTAGAAATTTTCATTTTCGACTTACGCTAAAAAAGAGTA